TGAGATAGTTATTTATTTATTCATAATGATTACAACATAAACATTGAGTTTTTATAAACTATAAGCAATTAAAGCAGCGATTATCATGGCCGGGAATCAATGACCATTCTTGAAGCAGTGGCGGCTGCTGTGAAAATACATTCAAAACCTTAACCCTACCCTAACTAATTGATATATGTAAAAGACTAATTTATCTATTTTGTTATTTTCTTTTTTATCATTTGTATCATGACAGCAAATTGGCCAGTAGAGAAGGTAATGTTGGGCTTGATGATGGGGAGAGGACAACGGGGGACGACTTAAAAGATAAGCTAGCGAATCTGATGGCAGGGAGGAGGTATTGTGGAGACAGAAATTTAGGGAGAAATTGCTGAAAGAAAAAAACCGCAACACCAAATATTTCCCTGCTTTGACGAGCCATAGAAGAAAATATAATTTCTTGGAAGAGCTATGGATAGGAGAGAGGAGAGTTTAAGGAAATAATGATATGAGGGAGGCAGCCAAAGAGTATTTTTCTGGTTTATAGTCAGAGGAATGGGGAAGAAGACCTAGGTTAGATGAGATACAGTTTTAAACCTTGTCCACAGCAAGTAAGCAGATCCTCGAAGAGGAATTCACTATAATGAGGTGTTGGACAGCTTAAATATGTGTAATGGGGACAAGGCTCTGGGATCAGATGGTTTTAATATGAAGTTATTGCAATACTTTTGGCATACTATCAAGAATGATGTTATGGGACTGTTTAGGGAGTTGTATGATTCTGGAAAATTTTTGAAGTCCCTAAATATTACCTTTCTTGTTTTGATTGTTAAGAAGAGATGAGTATCGGGAATTAAAGATTTTACACCCATTAGTTTGGTGGGTTGCATTTATAAGCTAATTGCAAAGGTCGTAACTAATAGCCTATCCAGAGTGTTAAGAGAGATTATTGGGGAGTGTCAACATGCTTTTGTGGGGATAGAAAAATTTTGGATGCTGTTATGACTGCGAATAAATTGGCGAATGAGTTGATTTCAGGTTAAAAAAAAAGGAATTTTATGCAAGCTATACATAGAGAAGACATATGACCACGTTAGTTGGGATTTTCTTGAATACATGATGAACAGAATAGGTTTTGGTAAAAAATGGATGATATGGATGCCCAGTTATCTCACCAGCACCTCTTTTCCTGTCTTAGTTAATGGGGGACCGTCCAACCTTTTTACTACTTCCCGTGGGTTGCACCAGGGTGATCCCCTATCACCGTTACTATTTCTAATAGTTATGGAGGCGCTGAATGCCCTAATTGTTAAGGCTATTGACATGCATTTGCTGAAAGGTGTAACAGTGGGGAAGGCTGTGAACACTGTACAAGTATCACATTTTTTCTTTGCTGACAATAGTTTGATTTTTATCAGCCAGAAGTGAGAAATCTCTTGCATCTGAGATGCATTCTACTGTGTTTCTAAGTGGTATATGGTTTAAGTCAGTAATAGTTC